AAACTGGAGAATGTGTGTCTTTGTGTGTGGCATTCTGTGTTTTTGTTTGTCTTTTTTAATATTGGTTGTAATTTAAGGGCACAGTATATAATGTTTGTGGCAAAAAGAAAGTTTTCCTTCCTAAGCTATTGTTTACACATAGTCCAGTTTCATTTGAAAACATCTGTCTCATGAATGAGTAAATCCAAACTAAGTGATGTAAGCCAGCATAGCTGAACTGTTACACAACTAACATTTCTTAAATATATATTAATTTTTAGTTAAGATAGGGTTGCCTAAAGGTCTTGCAATCTAACATAAAATGGATAATCTGTTCCTGTGTTCATAAGTTGCTTAGCACCACAGGATTTCTAGATGATACAATAATAAAAATATTCAAAAATAATATGCAATACCTTCCAACAGAGATCATAGGCCTCATTATCCAGCAGCTTTTTGAATGCTGATATGTAAAATCAGAACAAAAGTATTTCCCAGTTAATGACGGACTAGATGGCTGTAAGGCTAGACCAGCATTACTGGCTTCTCTGCCTCATGTAAGGTGTGGTCGTGTTTTGCCTGCTTCCAAAATATTTGGGAAATGTCTTGCTTTTTCTGCTTCAGCTTAATTCTTCTCAGGGTCCTCCCTCTGAGAGACTTAGATTTTTGTCAGAGATGTATGAAACTGTTTTCCTTGAATACAGTGTTCTTACAAGTATGATCCTGGAGAATGACCTAAGGAGTATATGCATGATTGAAGGTTAGTGATCCAACTTAGAAAAGCGCTGCCATTCATATCTTCAAATTGTAAACATTTGAGGTCTTATGTACCTGCCCAGTTTTAGGTTGCCTTTTTGTCTATATTCCTGATTAATCTTATACTGCCATCTCTCTTTGATCATGCCCAATATTGCTCAGCAATGCCCAACTCTGAATGTAAAGCAGGTATGGATGGTGCCTGCTGAAGGGGAACAGTGACCACAGCTGCTTTGTTTTCTGTATTTATGTCAGTGTGCTGGCAGCAGTCTGGAGGGACTACTACTTTTTTCTTTGTCAGCGCATACGTCCAGAGCAGATTTAGAGTCAATTCATTATCTCTAGAACAGCACAAATGGACTATAATCTCAATATATTGCCATGCAGTTTCCAGGATCTACCCCGTGCCTAGCTCCTGGACGTTGGCAGAGAGCCTCTTGACTTCGAGCGATGGAACAAGGGACAGATTTGTTGTGGTCTTCCTTCTTGTTGCTCTGAATTCATTTACCTAACTTCATATGCAGATTCATAACTATTTCATTGTTGACAAGAGAAAATTGTCATTGTTAAGAAGAATCTTATTTTATCTTAATTCAGGTAGCCTCAAATACAGTCTATGCTGACTGAGGTAACATGGAAAAGCCATGAGGAATAGAATAGACCTTAACATGGTGCAAAATCAGGCTTATTTGCTGCTTCGAACTGAGGAAAATCTAGAGGATCCTGACTGTAATGACAATTATTGATGTAAACAATTTAATGATGGAGTCTGAGTAGTTCTGCAGACCTGAGTTTGTCCAAAACATTCCTTCTCCATTTTCAGGTAGCTTGCTTGTGCCAAATCAGCTCTGTCATATTGCTCAAGTACTGCACTGAGTTTCCCTATTTGGTTTAGCTCTTCTTAGTTATTTGCTTCTGCTTGGCAATATACAATCAACCAAAGGTACAAGAGGAAAGGAAATACTTTCTGCTTTGTTCTTCAGTTAATTAAACTTGAAGTAAATTAAATTTCAGTTAATTAAATTTAGGAGTATATAAATAAAAATTCCAAATGCTGTTTTTTTTCCAGCATTCTTTATCTCAGAAACAGGACATATAAAAGGATGACAACCTGGGAAACATCAATAAAATAGTTGATAGGAAAGTTAAACGTTGGCTGCCTTTTATGATTTCTTTGAAAACAGTTGTTATTTTAAGGAGACAACATTTGTTCTACCTACGTCTTACAGCGAAAGGAAAAACACTATGAAGATAGACTTAATATGTGAACAGCTATATTTAAATAAACACAGTTGGTGCATATCAAAACCAGTAACTATTTGAAATGAACAGAGTAAGCACAAGTGGCCACAAGTTAAAGTGGCCTAGTGAAAGAATGGGATATTAGAATTGCATCACCAATAGCGTTTTGGGGCTTGGTAGTGGAATCGGAGGAAGACCAAGTGGCAATGGAGAAATTCCCCATGGCAGGAAGCACTAAGCATGTACGCATGGGCAGCCGTCATACTCCAACATAATTTCCTAGGCTGGTTGGTTGTCCAGGACTCAGCCTGGCTGCTTATCCAGCGTGAGTAGTTCTGACCTGGCCCAGGTGTCTTGAGAAGGTATGGATATTCCCCTCAATATAAGTAAGTTAAAAGATATTCAACATTTACAGCTTTAAATGAGAGCAGTAAGTCCTTGTGCTGAGATGAAATTCATCTTATAATAAATATAAATGCACTCGGGCTACTGCATTCCAAACAGTGAGAACATATACTTTTCAGATTATTTGTATAAATATCAAGAATATACCCTTTCTGAAAGGGACACTTTAACTTTTTTTTTTTTTTTTGCTTTGTATGTTCCAGTTCTACATATCGTGTCTTTCTCTCTGTTCTGACTTGAGAGCCTATCCCCTGCCCCATTCAAACTTCTTTGCACTGTGTATGTTTTCTGCAACCAGTTGTTTCCCTTCTTGAATGAGCTGCAAGCTGTACTCCTCTAACTTCAATTCTGGTTTCCTTAATCGCTTCCTTAGAGATCCCTTATAGCAACTATGGCAGCACAAGCACAGCACAAGCAGATAAGCATTGTAGATGGATGTCACTCCATGTCTACTCTAAAGTACTTCTCATGTACGCAAAACAAATCTGCATTTTTTTTATTTTGTACAGCCAGGTACTAAGACCTCTTTGCAATGTATATGAACAATTAATGCAGATTTTTTGCTGTCGTAGATGCTGCTATTTCCATGATGCTGGTATGACTGAAATTTGTGACTTTTGACATAGCTTTCTGCTGTGCACAATCACTAGCTTAACTTGCTGATGTTTTTCCATTTTGAGCACTAAACAATATTTTGGGGCCAAACTCTGCACAGCCATGAATGTCCTTAGCCAAATGTCAAAGGAATGTGAAATTGAAAATATGACACGTGAAATGCTACTGATTATTCTAGAAATGTTCTAACAGTGCTGCACACTTTTCTTAGCCTACTAATCTCATTTCATTCCTCAGGCATTCTGCTCAGTATCTTATTCCCCGCACCCCGCCCCAACTTTAGTGTCCATATACCAAGCTCTCGTTAGGCACATCTATCAAAAGAGGCTAAAACTGCACCCCCCAAAGCCAGGGGTGCTAAAACGCCAGGTGTACAGAGGAGTAAGGGTTCCTTTACTGTGTCAGGCATAAATTCAGCCTACATGACAAACTGACTTTCTTCAGAGACTTCCTACTATTTGACATCAGAAGGGATTTTGTCTGTATGTGGAAGGAGGGTGCCCTCAGCCTGTTAGAAACAGCCTCCTGCTCCACTGCTTCAGCAGTCTAATCGTATCATGTAGTATGGCTGGAGAACACTGACTTGCCAAGAGAGATGCTCTTTACTGTTGCGAGGTCTATCATTTGCAGTTTGTCCCTCTTAGGATCCAGATTCCTTTACTAATCCCTGGAAGAGTAGAGGATAGCTTGGTACTTCCCATCAATCACAAAGTGAGGTCTTCCTATTTTGACCTGGAGGCCTTTCACACTTTAGCAAGTCCTACCCTGAGACATTTTGAGAGCGCTCAGTGCAAACAGACGTGCTGCAAGTGACTGGCCTGTCTTACCTGCCGTCAGCACCTGTTTTTACAGTGCGGAGGGAAATTCTTTTCTCCCTCTGACCCCAAATGTTTTGGGAATGATACTTGCATGCCATCTTACATTCTGGAGTCTATCATAGCAGGTGTCTGATCAGCTGTGTGTCTGTGATCCAGTTTGCCTTTGGTTCAACTCTTCAATGCTTGCTAGACATTCCTCTCATAGAAGTTCAGTTAAAAATTTACATGCAATTGCTGCATGAGACTATAAAGCCAGTGCCAGCACATTAAAAGAGCAGCGTCTCACCGAGGTGACTTCTTGTACCAAAATAGAATGGCAGATGGTTTCGCAGCCTGGACCTGCATAAGATGGATAGGAACTCTGGCAAAAACACGCTGCTGGCAGTCCAGGATGGACATGACTTGTGGTTCTTGACCCTTAGGACACCTATGAAAAACAGCCTATGTGAAAAGCCATGGTCATTGAAAGCATTATGAGTTCAGATAAAACAGGTGGGTAATTTCCTCCCTGCCCTTAAATTTCTTTGGTTTTTTTTTCCCCTCTAAACTTTGGTAACTAATGACTATGTGCCAGTCCGTGGAGTACCTTGGGAGACACAGTCCATTGCCTTGTAATTTTTATATGATGCTTTCAGCTTCCTGGGGGTATTTTTACAGAATGCTGAGCAGTCTATCTTGTTTGAAGAGACTGACAGTTAATGCAACTGGAGTATAAAAACATCTTTATCAAGTTATCAAAGCTGCTTCTTGTTTACCTGAATTCCATCTGGAGAAAATGCCTCTCTGGGCCTTAGATAAACCAACTGCTGTCCCATTCTTCAGGTTTGCCTGCCCTCTGCTGCCCTCTCAGGCAACTTCATGGGATGCAGAAAAATTTAAAGCACTCTGTTGCAGCTGTTTTATTACGCATTTCATGGAGACTTTCATAACATGCACAAATATAAATGTAAAATATATATGGAAATTAGGATGTACCTTGACATAGTGTTATTACTGGAGCTACAGATTCAGATTTTATTCCTAGTGTGGTAAAAATTACATATTGGCAATTGTTTGACAGATACAAAAGTTGCATGTATGCAGATGACTAATCTTCATTAGGGATTAAATTACATCATGTATGTTAAGTGTGAACTTGTGTTGCATGTTTGCTGTGCAAGTTGTTTGTGTTCTGCTTTATTTCAGGAAGGCTTTTCATTAATTGATTCCCACAAGTGGCTCAAGATAGTAAGAAGAGCAGACTGCCTGCTGCTTCGTGCACAGTCAAAGGTAAGTTGAGTTGCTTTTAATATTTCTAACAGCTAACACAGTTCTGTATAAGATTTCTTAATATTGGATAAATTAAACCAGAAGTTCTGAGATACTGTAAATTGTCTATATAAATTAATTTTTTTTTTTTTACTCTAGATATTAAACAAGAATGGATTGAATCATCTTAATGTCTTTTGTAACTGCTAATATTCAGGTTTTTTAGACTGCTTTCTGAGAGTTAGCTACTAAAACAGCTAGACTGGTATTTATTTTTTAATCTACCTGCCCTGGCTAACAAGTAAAAAGATGAAGCAATTCTCTTACATGTACAGAAGCATGCTACCTATGAGTCATACTTCACTTTGGCAAACAAAGTATCTAAACAAACAATTATTTAGCCAACTTGTGGCCCCTGACACCTGGCACAGTAGTGGCAGGCTGGTGTTTCAGGCATTTGGTATTCAAGGCAATGAAGGGGACCTAGGTTTCTGGTCTTCCCCTCAGATCTCATGAAAAGTGGTTGGTTAGCCTTTAAATAATTAAATGGCACTTGCTTGTTACCAACTTACGTATAAATCTCAGTTTTCTTTGTTCTTAGATGAACTCTGAGAAGTTTCTTATTCATCTACACTGAGCACTCACCAGGTTTTTCAGAAACAAAGCCTGTTTCAAAATGAGAAGAGCTCTCCCTTCTCCCCTGATAGTTTCTAGGCTTTGTTGTTTCAGCAGAAACAGCTGCCTCTAGTTTAACTATCTCTACTTGACAAGAGAATTCATCTCTAAGTTAGAAACAGGAATTCTGGAAAAAGATGATGAGTCCCTTGTTCAGTATCTGCTAGAGATCAGTTTTAACTCTTTGTCCTATTAAGGCATAAAAACATCTCAAGTATTCAGAGATGTTCTGGCATTCTCCCCTGACAGGAACTCTGGTACAGACTGGGGTATTGTAATTGCAGATAATAGCAATATCCAGAATAGCTGAAAACCATAAAAATTCCTGTTTAGTTGTATTTCGATCTTTTATCTGATTTCTTTTATGAAAGACGTGTAAATATTTCTTTATAGGATGTTACAAACCAAGCAACATAGTTTGCAGAGGGGAGAATGCCTTGCTAATTGCAAGATAAAAGCAGATGCGAGGCATAATAAACATTGTTTACGTATGAGGACTCATCTTGTTTCAGAATAAGCCTAGTCTAATGGTGGCACTAGGAACTGCATAAATGAGTATCTTAAACTGTTTTAAATTCATGGGTTATGCTTGCCTGAAACCAAAACACCTTTGATCTCTGTTTTTTGTCAGATTCTTATAAAACGTGGAGTATCACTGAAGTCGACTATCGAGCTGTTGCAGTAATTAGTTTTGATGAATCAGTAAAGCATCAGTTTCCTTTACAGTTAATAGAACCAGTTCCCCAGCACAGCGTTAAGGGATTCTGCTGCATCTCACAAGAAACACAAAGTCAACGTCACAATCACTTTGAGGCTTGAACAAAGCTCTGAGGGACAGTTCAGAAAAGCAGGAGTAATAACATGGTCTTAAATGAATTTAGTGCATCTAAGTGTTTCCTTACCATAAATTCACATGACTTAAACTGCATTTAGTGGTACTGCAGTGGTCCTATCATACAGTTTCTCTACTTCGTATCCTGAATTGTAGCTGAAGTGATTCCTTAAGTGCTGTCAGTGTATATAGCTTCCCTGCTAATCTTCAAAAATATTTAAAAAAATTCAGGAAGCCAGTCACACCATGTAAGGCATTAGGATTCAACCCTGCTAGACCTAAGTAAGGAAAGAGTCAAGCAGAAGCCATTTAAGCAGAGGAAAGCAAGCTAGGTTTTCAAAAACCAGTTCCTATCTCTGAGTGCACAGGGCAACTAAGGAGCATAGGCAACTAAATACTATGCTATCATTTCTGATTTGTCTTGTACTCCTTGTTTTTTGTAAGTCATTAATTTTGCATTTATAGTGAAACTTACTCATTTCTTTAGAAATATAATTTTAATAGGGCACTGTGGGCTCTTAGCTAGCAGAATGGGTTTCTAAACTATATTTTGAGAAGCTTAGTGTTAATATACTTGAAGGAACATGACATGTAGAGAAGATACCTGTTGCAAGTCATTATTGAAACTCACCTGTACTAGTGGAAATTTTTTTCAGTGAAGTACATGCGTGTCTAATTCTGAAGCCATACCTGTCAGATGCACGCTTGTGCCTTACACTTAGCTGAAAGAAACAGCTGCGTGGCTGTGGCTGCCCTTTATACAGCTCCATCTCAAGTAATCACTTATCTCACATATAAAAACTTTTTTTATATGAAACAATCTGTAAATAGTAGCAAGACAAACGTTCTTAATATTCTTGCAGTAAGTCATTTCCCTTCATACTGTTTTCATTGAGCTTGTCCCCTTGCCCCAGCAAGGGAAGAGGTGCAAGTTTGATGATCCAAGTGACCCCAAGGTTCTTTAATACTTCAGCTCTTGTATGGTTCAGGTGTTACTGCCCAGTACTTGCTAAAACTTGACATCATCTTAGCTGAATTTGAGCGCGCTCTCTCTTTCCATAAAGGAAAAATGTTTTAATTTCAAAGTCTATTTTTGCTTATAAACTGCAATCTTGTGTTTTTAACAGTCCTTGTGAAAAAGCAGAGGGCAATACAAATAGCTCAGACTGAAAATTGATTTGGGGATTGTAGGGCTAACTAAAACAAGCGTTCTTTGAAAGTCTCCAAAAGAAATTCAAATTAAGATGCAAGTTACCTTTCTGTCATTTTAATGAGAACTCACCTGTCTGGCATATCCACAAATCATTTCTCGGTTATTGTGAAGCTGACCCGGTTGACATCTTAGAGGAAATGTAACTGGGCACTGGTAAAATGGGCACTACAGTTTGAATTATTTTGACATTTCTTCCCTTTAAAAGGCACTGAGACAAGCTTTTATGCTTACAATGACCTAAAAATCATTTTATGCAATACAAGCATCTTAAAATAACATGCATGTAAACATAGAGGCTGTCATGAAGAGCTGGCTCATCTTCAAGACAAAAATCTTAGAAGTGAAAGATGTCCTTGTATTCGTGTAATCAGCAGTCCAGCAGCGTGAATAGTCATTAAAAAAATGGTTTTGACATTGATATCTCAGAAAGATGAAGACTCAAATAAGCTAGGTCGATCCAAGGAAAACTTTTCTAGTATTTTAACTGTGTTTTAAATTTGAAATTTCAAGATCAGACTGAAAGTCTAATTAATTCACTCCCTAAACAAGAGCATTCAATATGTATCTACCTTATGTCAGTTGCATGTGCTTAGGACAAGCTTATCATGCACGACAGGCTCTTCAGCCCTCCATTTTCAGTGCAGTTTGCTGGACCTCATGTTCCTCAAAAATACCTATTATGATACAGTGTGCCAACCTATACTGGGGGTCAGTTCTATCCAGTCTTTTTTTATTTTTTAGTATTTTTTCACTATTTAAAGTAATGCATTTGAGTTTCTTGCACTCCTAATCAACTGTGTTAGCATCTACTCAAGGAATTCAGCAGCAGCATTCAGTTGGAGTGCCAAACGGAATTTGTACATTTAGCTACACACACAGGTACACCAGGTAGGTAGGTAAGGCTGGGTTTGATGCAGAGAGTAACATAAATCCTAAATGGAACATATGGTTTGCAGAACTTGTCATTTAGATTTCAAAGTTAACTTCTGCTTACTTTAGAGTAATTTTATTTTTTGTCACAAACAACGGTTCAGAGTTGGCACATCCTTATAGGATACTACTTGCAGCAACAGTAAGAACTGAATGTCTGTACTATACTTGTAAAACCCATCATCATGGCAAGGTTTGTTCACTTGGCTGGACCTTTAATTAGTTGACAAGTAGCCCTGCCCACTTACCCTTTTCTTAGGTTTTTTAAACTGATTTTCAAATGGGGAATCAGTCTTCTGGTTTAGCTGCTGAGATAAATGAAAATACAGCAGGGAAAACTTGATTCTTAGTATTTAAGTTGGTGCAGTGATCCAAAAATTTATTGCCTTCTTCCTAACTACAACAAATAGGAATTTAATTAAATCAAAATAGTTTGAGGGGATCCACAGTTAATTTAATTTCTCTTTGGTTTTTAAGCAGAATGAATGCCGCATGTTTCGCGTTCAGTTTGGTGGAGATTCAAAAGAACAGATGCTGGAACACTGCTGCAATTGCGTTCAGAAACTTGCAGAGTATGTACCGGTTCAAGTAACTGATGAACAAAGCCAGCAGGTCTATCACAGTCTCAGTCAGCTGGCTAATAGTGAAAACCAAGTGAAGGACTCGGAACAAAATGCATCAGTACCACAGACCGTAAGTATGCAAGAACACATAGACAGAAAAATATAAAAATAATTAACTATTAGTGTTAGATCTGTAAATGACAAATTTTACTTCTGAAGAAAGTTTTTTGCAACTGTGAGACCATCTATATGAACTATGATTTGGGAAACCTAGTTAGTGAACAGGGCTACAGTTACTCAGGAAGTCAGCTGCTGAAGCTGGCTATCGTCTTCCTATTTTCTTAGTGTGCCTGAAAAAAAGTTAACTGAACAATGCTCAAAAAAGGAGTTCTAGCTCCTCAAACTGGTTGTAATGTACCTTAGAGCAATCAGATGCCTTTGTTTTGGCCTCCAAAAGGTCACTAATAACTAACACTAATATACATGTTTCATGTTATCATAGGAAGAATATTAGCAAGCATATGGAATGAGATTTATAGGTGGAAAAAGCTTTGCTCAGGGGGTTGAACTTTTCCTTAGCTAGGGACCCTGGAAGTGAAGAGAACAATTTATGCAGGGCTCAGGCAAACATAGGAAGTTACTAACCCATTAAAAGAAACAGCAGCAAATGCTACAGCCGAGCGTTGTTTACCAGTTCCCAATCAGATGGTGGTATGGTTTGGTGGAAGACTGAGATGCTTTCTGCTGAGGTTAAAAAACAAGAATAGGGGGCAGAGGATGAGAGCTGAATAGTTACCAAAAAAAACATGTCGACAATTTAATCTGTGTGATTTTCAGCAAAGACTGCTAGGAACCACCTGGCAGACTTTCAGATAAATTATACAGGGTAAGAAAGTGATCAGAGCCATTTATGTAACCATGAATCGTGTTCTCCTTTTTGTGTTTACCTACTCCTGTTTTGCAGTGTTAATAATTGTAAATATAGCAATTGTATCAATTTGAGCTTAACCTGACACATTTAATAGCGATTTCAGGGTAGGAACAGAATGTTTCCCCTCTCCAAGACAAAGATCTAAGGCAATTGGAAAAGGCAAAGGCAGATAGTATTTCTGAGGGTGACTAATTCTTAAATATGTGCTCTCTTGGGTATCCAGAGGATCACACTTACCAGCTCTAAAAAACATCCCTGCAGCTAACTTAGCCAGGATAGCTCTTGGGTAAGTGATAAAAACATCGGTACGATGACTGAGCCCTGAAAAAGTAATGTCAAAGCTTTCAGCTACATCATTTTCATGACATAATCTAGGAAGGTCCTATTCTACTGGACTGTGGAATCATATTTGGTACAGAAAGTGCAGGGAAAAAAAAAAATACTGCTAATTTGACTCGCACCATTTCCAGGAAGGCATATGGGAGACCCTTGACAGCTGATGTTCAAGATTTATTGTTTGTTCTTTAAGCAGATTACCTATACTCCGAGCTTTGCTCATTTCCTGATAAAGCTAAAGCAAAGAAAGGAAGGTGAAGTATGTCATGGCAGAATGCTATGGAGCACCAACAGTCATACTATTGGTATTAATAATGCTCTTTCTCCAGAAGTTAAGACTGAAAACCTTGCTCAGAAAATAGAATTGACAACTTAAACTATCTTTTTTGTGATGTGACCCAAGGGAAGGAAAAAAGCATGCTCCTGGTGAGCATTCATATACAGCTTTTTTTTTAAGTTACTACCAGTAAGTAGTTTAAAAGTTATCTTAGTTTAGACATGGCATTTTAACTACAGGCCCAATATTTCATGTCTTTCCTTTTTAAAGACTTGAGCAGATGTGCATTCAGGTTCCATAAAAAGATGCCTTTTTACTGCATAAGGTAGCTGAGCACAGTCTCTTCCCGTTACCTCTAAAAATGGAACTACTTCCCTTCTTGCACATACCCACACTCTGCTTGGTAACAAGCCCTTATTTGCATTTGATATTTTCTAGCCAGATGAACCTCTACCAGATTCCTGCCTTGGAGAAAGAAGATCTGTAACACAGCTAGCACAGGTAAAAAAAAAAAAAAATCTAATATTTAGATCCTGTAACTGAATTGCTCAGGCGTGGAGAGCAAGCCATCTTGTATACTGTAAACATCAGGATGCCATCACCTATACCAACAGAACCATAGCATCTTCTGTAATGATCTGGAGCTGGGAAATAAGCTGCAGAACCAGGTATTTCATGGTGTAATTACTCCATTTGCATAAGAACAAACCACCACACCAAGAACATCCAAATAAATGGCTTTGTCACTCTTTGACTCTGCAGAAATGACCTCCACAGTCATAGCGTATGTCTGAAAATATCAATCATCCGTGACCCACAACAAAAAAATCCCCTAATTCAGCTGACAGCTTCACTGAGAAGTCCAGGGTAAAGCCATGTTTAAAAATAACTGGAAGTTAACTGTTGCTTGTTTACTGTGTGAATTTGGGACAGTACAGAATCAGATGATTGAGGAGAAAACTCTCCTCTCTCCAACCTCTGCTCTTGTGCAGTTGCTTCCATGGGTCTTTCTTACCCTTTTTCCATATTGGCAAGATGATCAAGTCAATGTTTCTTCTCATCAGTGGTTTAAGGGACAACTCCTGTACTCCCTATTACAAATCTGTCCTCTATTAAACCCAAAAAAGCCTTTTAACACCTCTGTTTTCAGAAAGCAGAGGTCCCTGTACTCTCATCTCAGTGGTGAGAGCTGTATTACACACCCTGCTGTTTCATTCCCAACAGTTTTGTTATTGTCCTTTTACAGTGCAGCAAGAGTGCCCCAATAAGTGAGTGATCAAACAAGGCGGTTTGCCTTTGCCAACTGTATTTTTCATGACCAATCTGTTTTAAGAGGCAATACTAGCAAGTGCAATTAGCACCAACATTATAAAGAACAACTTAGCTTCTAAGACCTGCTATTCTGTGGTCCCTGTATAAGACAGGAGCACGAGATCTGCCTCAAAGAAAGCTTTCTGCCAGCGAGGCCTGTACTTGCTGCACACGTTCACGCATCTCTCACTTGAATTACTAACAAATTCCCTGGCACAAAAAGACTCCTTGCTGTAGTAGTTTCCAACATCTTCCTCTACTTGCCCCTCCACTTAGCTTAACACAACTGTGCTCTGAGCTGCAGTCCCACAGGCTTGCCACACACAGTTTGCTAGAGGCTGAACTTCTCTTCCCCACTTGAACTTCAGAAACACACCCTTTCAGCTGGTGTTCTGGAACACTCTGGAGTTAAATTTCTCCATTTCCACCACTTCAGGAAGCTAGCAGAAACGCTGGTTTTAAGCGTTTTCTTGCAGGTTTTTGTTTTTTTTTTTAAAAGATACTCAACAGTCTTCAATTTGTGTTTAAAGATATTTTTCTTCAGTCAAGACTATGGCATGACCAAAAAAGCAACACTGCAATGTAAGCAAAAATATAAGATTAGCAAAAATATTTAGGGTTGGGTTCCCCCCCCCACAAGCCAAACACAGGTACGCTCCAGCTGGCACCGTGCCCTGTCCATCGGCCAGTTGTCTTGCACCGTTTCAGGTTCAAGCAGCAGCAGCGAGGGTCTGACTGAACGTAACAGCAGTCTACCTTTCCCAGATGGAGAGGCTCGGTTTAGCCTCTGCCTCGCATATCAGTGAATCAAAAAAGAGGCCAAACTAGGCATCTGAAGTTTTTAAAGCCAGATACAGACTAACTAGCATCAGGCGTTCCCCCTGTAATAACACCATTCATCGCCTCTGCACATCACACCTACCTCATTGCGAAAGTAGCACCTCAGTGATTTTCTTTGCTTCTGCTCTCCCATGCAAAGTATCCAAAAAGCATCTGTAACCGATGCTGCAGCTTTAACCACTTCAGCACAGACAGGTAAAGAAACTTAAAGGCCGAGTGGGTGGTGAGGTAGAACATTTGCAGCCCAAACGATGGAAAAATTTTGGTACAAACACTCAGTCGTTAACACATACTATGAATAACACAGTTTACAAGGAGCAGCAGCCCTGGCTGCAGTAGGGCCTTTGAACTGTGAAGTTACCGTTTTTTTAACATGGCTTGCATCCAGCAGGAGAGCTGGCAGCCCACCACAATAAAGTTTTAGTCGAGCTGCTTCAGCTTGTCATAGGAACAGCAGCGTGGAAAGTGCTCGGGAGTTGCCCAATAGCCTACCGATCCATTAGACTTGTGCCTTTCTCCGGTGTATCTCCTGGAGGAGAGCAGCAGCCCCTACGGGTGCTGGGAGGCGGTCAGGGCTTCCTCCACCTCAGCACGTGAGGCTGTACACCTTCACTCTGCTGCCACGGGTTTTACACTGAAAAGTGACACAATGCACAGAGTTTGCCCACCACCAAGGGAAAAAGCTGGGGGAGGGGGGGTTAAATGGGCATGAAAAGGATGTTTTGACTCCTAAAAAGCCCATAATTTACTTCTGAAAGACATCTTGCTAGATTAAGAGCTAAGAACAGCATACTTCGTTATCCTTACAGAATTCAGGTGGCAGTACATACGCTTCATACAGGATCCTTTTCTCTTACGCAGAATGGATATTCACGAGAAAAAGCTGGGGGAGGGGGGGTTAAATGGGCATGAAAAGGATGTTTTGACTCCTAAAAAGCCCATAATTTACTTCTGAAAGACATCTTGCTAGATTAAGAGCTAAGAACAGCATACTTCGTTATCCTTACAGAATTCAGGTGGCAGTACATACGCTTCATACAGGATCCTTTTCTCTTACGCAGAATGGATATTCACGAGGAAGCCATGTTACCCAGGAAATTGGCATTCCTTCTGATTTAAATAATTGTGAAGGTATTCAAAGTTGCATAAAAGCTGTATCGGAATCGAAGCTAGGTATCCGAGAAAAAGTTCCATACTGAAATCACGTCTGATTGAAAGTTTTCAAACAGCATTAATAACAAGGCAGATGCATCTTTATTAAATACCAAAGGAAAACTTTGACGTAGCTGCATTGTTACAAAAACTGTGTAACGTTACCTTTTATGTCCAAGATGAGTGCGAGACCTTTGTTTACTTTCGCAGTCTGTGCTGAAGAAGTCTGAGCTCCCCCTTGTGTATCGGCATTCAGTGTGGCACGCACGGGAGCTGGGGCCCTTCATTCGCTTATGTCTTATGGATCAGAATTTCCCAGCTTTTGTGGAAGATGTGGAAAAGGAATTGAAAAAACTCGCAGAAGGTTGAGAAATAGCAGCTTGCCACCACTGGAACGCACGCTCCAGGATACCCAGCACTCGGGATGCACAAGTTTAAGTGCGATTAAATATTTGAGAAAGTCTCACGCGGTGTTTTTTTTTGTCAGTGTTTTATTTTTAAAAACAGGTGAATCCACTTTTTATACATCATTGCACTTCAACAAATACACAGAACACAAGTTCATGCATCTACAGTTATGCACATCATGAGAACCCTGTTAGGTCTATTTCTACAATCTTTAAATCATGAGAAATTACAGTGTCAAACTAAAGAGTATAACTAGTTGCATAGAATATCACCATGCTGTAACATTTCATCATTTAAACAAAACAAAAAAAAAAAAAAGAAAATTATAAAAGTTTGCCTGAATTGAATGTACAAGAATATGTTGAACACATCAGTGCAAAAGGATTTGAGAATTTACATGAGTTAACAAAAAAAAAAATCACTTAAAAAGCAATCATATATATATATTTATAAACTGAAGTCTTGTTTTTGTTTTCAACTGCATTCCACCACCACCACGTCGAACCATTCCAGCTTTTGAAGTCTGATTATAGGACACCCAAGTCTCTCTATATAGGTTAAGCCCTTAAGATAATTTCAATTTATATTACTTCTCTAAGTACCAGAACAGTATAATTCTCTCATCTTTCAGACATACAGTAAGGAATGAATATCAGCAGCTTAAAAATGAAACACAATTACTGTATTTTGGTTTTCCCCCTCCCCCAAAATATAAATATATACTGTATATATTTTTAAGTTTTGCTGTACTTTACAAAAATTATCACTAGATGGCAGCAGTGCGTTTTAGAGCTTTGCCAATTTTAACAGCTACAGGAAGTAAAAAATGGCGCATGCGTGAACCGACTTACTACTCCTAATGCTTAAATAGATTAAGGAAAAAAAAAAAAAGCAACATTCACAGCACATCAAGCCCAAAATAGTTTACACCTTCTACACTGAAGCATTATTAAAATTTATCTGGCTAGGTCATCCTTACAGGAGAGGCTAAATAAGGCATGCTTTAGACAGTCATATTGTTGCTCACTTGAAAAGGAGGAAAAAAAAAAAAAAAAATCAGACAGAACTGGAGTTCTAGAACCAAGAGTTCCAACCCTTAAATTTAGCAGGTCATATTGCCATCAGTCTCTCAGAAACTTAAAGCTCTAAAAAAGAAATGAGAAAAGGTGCTAGTCAATGCCCGGCAGCATTTTCAACATCACGTGCCACAACAGCGTGCAATCAAAGCGCTTGACATCCGTTTCGGTCTTAAATGAAGATAAAGGCTTCCCAACCAAGGTTAGCGTCCAGATTTAAGACTGAATGAGGAGGGGTTTGGGGTTTTTTTTATTAGCAATAGCAGTGGTTATGTAGAGTTTGACAGCTATGGGATCATTAAACTACCTGCGTATTTTATGAAAGAAGTCTTTCGATAACCCCCAGTGCTCTTTGAAGCGCGGCAGGAAGGCCGCTGCCATCCTCTGAGCAGCTGGTAGCTTTTAATACGTGGAACAAGTTATGTCTACGCACCCCAAGCACTACAGAAAAAGGAGGGCGTTAGCCTGACCGTTTCCGAGCTGTGTGCAAGTCATACTTACATGATAAGCATTTTTAATTTGTGTTTCTCTGGCGTAAGTTTTTATCTTTATGATTGTTTGTAGAATTGGTTTTCCTGGAGAAATAAAAAAAAAAGCACCGAAATCAATCACAACTTTAGGGAAAAGCGTCTTTGTACATACTAAGTTAAACGGCATTTCATTCTTCCTCCTCTTAAGTGGCTAAAGACAACGCGACTTTTAGGCTGTTTGCATGTTGCCGCCTTCTTGCCCTGTGCAATTCGCCTCCTACAGCTGTCATTCTGCTTCCTAGTTTTACTGCTTCCTTCTTACAGCTGAAGCTCCCCCCACCCCGATTTGCCACTTGACTAAGATATTTGTAAAAAAACCATACCAAATCTGCTACACCAGGCAGTCCGGGAGACCACGTGTGGCTTCAGCACAAATATTTGTTTCTAACTCCTTCAGCAATATTTGTTTTTCTAGCAAGGACCTTGCAGGTATCACTTTTCTTTATTCCAATGCTAACAAACAACAAACCAAAGGGCCCATTACCATTAGTGATGTCACACCTAATATCACTCTTATGTGCCGTAAACTGCCATAAACCCTCAGATTAAGCCCAGTAGTATTTTTTTTCTTAAAATGCACTTACATTGGCCCAGCTGGTTCATCATCTGCAGCAAGAATTCCGACGCAATCCAGGGGAAAGACAAGGAAAGGAAAGAAAAAGAGAGTCAGTCTTTGCACCGAAACACCGGCTGAACTGCGAACAGCAAACCGATCTATCTACAGCATTAAAGGCCATTCCACTTGGTAGTGCAAAGATTCATGGAGTTATTTTTCTGGATTCAAGTTTTAATGGCAGGTATGTTGCTTCAATGGTTTTAGTTAACACTTTGAATGCTTGTCATGAAGAACTGCAACTGTAGCGGACAGATTATTGCAATATGGTCAGACTCATCTTGTCCCCAAGTTCCAGTGGTTCAATCTCAAAAAATTGATGAGAAGACAAACCAACGTTTCAGTTGTAAAATCCTGCTGGTTGTTTTCTTGCATTGATTTTTTTTTTTTTTTTTAAAATACATTTTTTTAAGCCATCCTTCAAATGCTCATGGGTAATTACTGGTATATACACAACAGGGTATATACACCATATGCTCCTCTTCCCCCATGGATGATACAACCTCTACGTGCTCCATTTTTCTCAATGTCTAATTAGAACGGACCAGGTTAGGAGGAGGTTGAAGGTGCAATACTTATTCAAGTATTTTGTCAAACGTAGTCCTTGGATAGCAGCAGGCATCGTGCATCCGATTGAGCACAGGGCTCAAAGCACCAGGAGAAGTCAGGGGTGTTGTGATACCTCCAGACACAACAGACTTCAGCTACAGAAGACTGACAGCATTGTTCTGCCTGTGTCTCTTGGCAAAAATATTCTCTTTTAAGAATTGGAAAAAGATCTGCCAATGAGTAATGTTTCGCATTAGCTCTTTCATGACCAATTGAACTTTTTTTTTTTTTAAATGGTAAAACAGCTTATTTTGCCCCCAAGCTGCGGTACAGAAGACAGAAGTGCATTTAAACAGCAGTACAAAAATCAATCCAGAAAGTTAACGCTCCTGTAGAAGTATTTTGGGGGGACCAATTCAGGACCTGCTGTCTTTGGCATTCAGCAGTTGCCGTTCCCACCTCGTGCTAGAGAGATTTTTCACTGAAGTCTTTAAGAAACTCTCAGCAGGATTCCACAAGGGTGCTTAGTGCACATGAAGCAGTTATGGAAATTACAGTCTTAACAGTGTAGGCATCCGCATGAGCACACGCTAGGAGTAATGTCGGTCAAAGGGGACATTACTCCACCTGTACCTTCAAGGCAACGGATAGGCAAAGCCACCGCTAGCACAGACAGTGACCGGAACAAAAAAAATATTTCAAAAAAATAAAGAACTAACCACAAACCAAGAGCTTTACAGCCAAAATAACATACTAGCGACACACCAGTGTCCACAGAAGTCCATTACCAGCAACAGTACACTATCGGACAAGATACAGAGAGAACTAGGACTAGTAAGGACAACCAGACATCAATGTGCTGTTGTATATACAGTGGAGATATACAGAGACACACCAGGTACTGAAACACAAAGCACAGTAGAGTAGGCCTAGAACTTCCCTCCACAAACATCTTTCGACTCACGAAAGATCTTCAAGCAGGCTGCGCTACGTGCTCCGCACGCTGGCCGGGAAGAGCCTCGGACAGACAGCAAGCCCTTAGATCCCCCCACCCCCAGGTCAGAACTGCTACCGATGCCATTCTGCTTAAATCTCGGCTATCTCTGCTTTCTAACAAGCGTTGTCGACATCTTTGGGAGTTTGTTTGGCTGGACTTCAGAAATATCAAACTGCACCGTTAAGATACAAGCTCTCTCTCGCTAGAAAATAACCATTTTTCCTTCTCTCTTAAAATATTTAGATGCCTATTTCAGATAAGTAGTTTTGTGTGTTTAAACAAAAAAAAAAAGCTTCACATTTATAAAGGCTGCCATCGGGTGTTTTCCTAACGAAGACCCAACAAAAATGCCTACTAGAATACTTAAAATTATATGGTGGATCACCACCACCCATCCCTTTCCCATCTACAACCTAAACAGAGATAAAATAAGACCGAGGAAAATTTCTCTGTGCGTTACTATCCTGGTCAGCCATTTAGCTGCTGGAAAAGCATCCCCAGTACAGTACAGACAAAGACCGAAACCTTAGCGAAATCGGGGCAACAGAACAACAGAAAAATAAGTACAAAATTAGACTAAATAAAGATTAAAAACAGCAAACTGAAATCCAAATTAGTTGTGAACGTGAATGAAGAAGTTTTAAGAAAAAGTGTTAACATTATGACTTGTGCATTGTATAGACTGAAGCGGAGATTAAACAAACTCCAAAGCATGCAGATCTCTCACTTACCACCATTTTTTTAAGGGTATGATGCAATTGAAGGGGGGAAAAAAAAAGAAGTCATAGTAACCGACAAATATCAATATAACTCAAAACCTTTATGCCAGAAGAGCTGCTCTAGTAACCGATTGTCTCTAAGAGTGTGTAAAACCTATGGCCATAGAGAACATCCTCCCAGCATGCTGCTTCATTCCATTCCGCACCCGCAGGGCTCCCGAAACGCTGCCAGGTGAGCTGTGATTTTATAATTGACCACACTAAACCCCTCCTTTTGCAGGAATTTCCTTTTGAATTTGGGGGGGATCTGCAGACTTCAAAACCCCCGTTGTTTATACAATACAAGATTAAAAAAAACCCAACCAGCCATGCCTTTCTTGTGGGTATCGTGATTATCTGCTTAGTGTTGCCCTGAAATAGCACATTTCTGAACCAAAAGGTTAGAACTGCTGCTGTCTTTAACACATTGTGTAACAT